AGGAATGCCAATCTATTGCTTGCAACAACAGATTTTACTCAGTGGATAAGGTACCTTTCCAGTTTTAACAAATGCTTCTGCTACCCGTCGATTCCGGCCACCATAACAAGTTGTGATGAGATCAGCAACTCCACAGCTCTCCAGGAAGGTGGCAGTAGACACCTGTCCTTTGCAAAAAATTCTGGCAAATGCAATCATCTCCATTAGGCCAAGGCGAATAACGGCAGCTTTGGTATTGTCACCACAGCGAAGGCCATCACAGAACCCAGCTCCTACCGCCACTATATTCTAATGAGAAAAAAAACAAACGGGAAATGAATCAACTTTTGTTTAGAGAATCCCAGAAGACACCAAGAGACAGAGTGCAAGTATCCTTAAGAGTTGTATATATAGTTGTTTATGAGATAACCTAAAAAAAAGTGTTACATTAGGAAAGTATTTCCAAGGATAAAAGCGTAGTTAAAGCTCTGAAAGAAGTTGCCCTGCAGGCTACGGAACTATTATCATTGAACAGGTTAAACTATACCCAAACAAGGTTTGTCTAGATATAGCTGATCCTGCCCTGAGGTGGGGGTAGAGCTACACTGACATCTCAAACCCCAAGCCTTATTTTCTTTCTGATTAAAGCAATCCTGAATCAGATAAATGTTTGTTTATTTTCATGCTAATATGCTGAGGGGCTAAATTCAGCCTGGGGAGGGGCCTGGAGATTCATGACATGAGACTTTTCCTAAGCACAAAAAGGTTCTCTCCTTAGACCTGATTACATCTCTCTACAAAGAAGGTACTGTTTCTTCGTGATCAATGAGCTGTACCGTACCTTCTTTGGCTTATGAACATAAAACAAAGATCAGTTGAGAGACTTTTGAGCAAAGCAACTGTAAAAACTATTGTTTGGCCTGGAAAATAACAAGATAAGCCACGAGAAAGCAAAGATTTGTCATGGTAAAACCCCCCCCCCCCCCCCCCCCCCCGAAAAAAACTACAGAAGAGATGGGATTTTGAAGCCCTGGCAAAGCAGATAAGGAAGCAACAGATGTAGTAACATCTTTCTGCAACAATAACAGCAGAAGCCACCTCAACAGAAACCACAGGATAACCGGCATTACCAACCCCACTGCAGAAAAAGAGCTGTAACTTGTTGAAGGAACAGCAGCAGCAGCAGCAGCAGCTGGAAGCTGCTAATGAAAGCAACAAGACTATTACCAGCCGTTTTTTGTTCTGTTTGTTGGATTATGAGACCTAAAGACTGTAGGTGGCTGTAGTGCTGTGAGGCCAATCGTGGCTAGGTGACTCTCACTCAAAAATGGGGCCAGAGGATGAGTCATTGCTTTTTGAGCAGCTATGAGGTCTAAATATGACTCTTGGAAACTGCACACAGAAGTCCCAACTGTAGGTGCAACAGCAGCAAAAGATGATCAGACTTTTAAAGCTGGCACTTCACATAATCTTGGCTTAAATCTTAACTTTGATGATTCAGGCTAGGTATCTTTACATCAGACATCTCTCCTACAGCAGCTCGCCATCACCTCCAATATTTTTGCGCATGGTGGTTAGAAAGTTCTTAGGTTAGATAACCCATTTAACTGCAATTTGCATGTATCTGGAGTCTGAAAGTATTTAGTACTCAGCTAAAAGTGAAAACAGCCTTGTTTCTGAACAACCTCCGGACTTTTTCCATGCACTTCTCCAACACTCCGACACTGTATAAAGCTTCCCCTTTCCTCCAACTTTGCCTACTTTGACTTTCCTTTCCACTTTTGAAGCAGCCTATCCTGTCATAACTTACAGTATGATTTGGCCCTTGGCATTTTGTTGTATGTTTCTACCTTTCGCAATGTTTGTCTTTGGAGCAATGGAAATATTGTTTCAAGTAAGTCCAGGCTAGTTATTTCTGAGAAAATGGGGGGAGGAAGGGAGGCTGTGATCCAACCCTGAAACACTCAGCTCCTCTTCTGTACAATGTCCCCATTGTAAGTTCTTACACACAGTTTGCAAATCATGAGGAAACAAGACAACTGATTATTCTCTAGAACACACACCCACACCTAAGAGACATTTATATCCTGGTCAATATAACCCTTAGGCTACAATTATGAATTTACATGCTCTATCATCTGGTTTCATTTAAATCCTTGAAGAATCCATGACAACTCTCTCCTGTTTGACATATTCTAGAGAACTGGACTATACCATTTGAAAGCTACATCTTATTGGAAGAGGATTCTCTTCTTTTAAAACAAAATAAAACAGAAATCTCACAAACCTGAAAGAGAACTAATCATCTTTCTACCAAAAACATTGCTCAAGCAGCCTGGTACCTGAAATCTCTGGGTGCAGGCACCAAGCTGAGTTTGTTGCAGGAAGATGCATGAGCAAAACAAATCAACACACATGGGCTTCATGCCCACTAGCATTGTAGAGATCTTCTGAGAACCATATCAGGGAGAGGGAAATCACATTTCCATTTGGCCAAAACATCTTTGCTGTATCTGATGCGTTCGAAGTATATCAGACCCACAGCACAAGCACAGGTCAGTGCATGTGCAGTAAGTCGAGATGTGCTTGGTTCACCTGAAAGACACAATTAGCATTTGCCAGCCTCTTGGACTTACTGTTCCTGCTGGCTTATCTAACAGTCAGAAGCTCTAGGCAGTTCTAGGTCAGTCTCTTATTCTGCGGAATAAGCGGAAAACAAGAGCATGTCTGGGGAAACTCAGATTTACGGTAGCCACAGCTTACAGCAGTATGGCTTGAAAGTTTCCTAGATTTCAGTCCCAAATGTCTTTTGCTGATTGAGTCTCCCTGTATTCAGAGAAATAGGATATGCTTACAAGTAAAAGAGAATTACAATAAAGATGTCCAACTACATCAACAGTTCTTCCTCGTAAGTGAAATAACCTTCCAAGCTCCGAGTCTTGGCCAGTTGGTCAAACCAAAGAAGGTTAATATTTCATTGTCAACATCTGAAAAAGCCTTTTCTTAAGGCTGCTCAGCACCTCCCTTCACTGTTTTTTTTTTGCTCCTATAACCTGGAGAAGCTTTAATTATTTTTTACTGTAGCAAAAACTGTGTTTTGCTGTAGCTTTCCAATATTAGAAAAATTTAACTAAACTTATTCACATATTTTGGAATGAATCTGGGAAAAATAGATAATCTAAATATATAAATATAATCTAAATAATATAATCTAAATACATAAATATATAAAATATATAATCTAAAATATATATTCTGAATTAGAAGATTCCACACATCCATCAATGGGTTCTTTTTGGAGAAAAGGGGGGAGGAGGGACTTTTACAAACTTTTACAAGTTTGATTTGACCACACTATAGGAAGATAGTAAGATTCTGAAGACTTTTTACCATGTTCCCACAGCCTAAATTTTAAGAATTACTATTCTAGACTAGTCAGAAGATATGAGTCTGCTGCATAAAATTCAGTGGATGATTCTTACAAGAACATTAACTGATCATAACTCCTTCTGCCATCAAAACAAACAGCTAGGAAATGCAAGTTTTCAACAGCTGGATATTTAAAAAAAAAAAACTCAGATGATGGGTTCCACATCCCTTTTCATTTAAATCTCCAAACCAGAAACAAAAATATCACAGACTTTACCCCAGGTGAATTTCTTGGTTCATTACATTAAATGATTTAATGTTATCAGGAGTTTAAACTAAAAGTTCAATATTAACACTATCTCCGATTTAAAGGACAAGTAACACCTTCCTCATGGCAATATATTTCAAAGCATTTCTCAAGGGACAACAGCATCACTGTTTCCATTTTCCATAGAAGGAAAACAGAGACATAAAAGGGAAGTGGTAAAGTTGGGAACAGCAGAGTATTCCTTTGTCTCAATATCCCACTATACCACACCACCTACCCATTAATAAGGTCAAAATAAATTTTTAGAGACTCCTGCTGTCACAACAAGAATGATCCTTTTCATAGTGTTGACATTAATAACTCCACTTATCATATTGATGAGGATAAATTCAATTATTTAAGAGATGTCAGCTTCAAGTACCATCTGCTATCTATAATATTTAATCAGTATTCCTATTAATGTGAAACAGAAATAACCTGAACACTGCCATTCCTGCAACCTACATTTGCAGATACAAGAGTTCCTGCAAAAGCAATGGGTATACGTTTGTGCAAGAGAAGAGTCAAATGCTGACTATATTGGCATATAAAACATAGGGGAGGTGGTGGGGGAAGGCCCAAAGGGCCAGGTAAGCGAGGGCAGCTGTAGTCTACAAACAAGCCTGTCGGTCCAAAGGTTCAAAAATACTGTCACAACAACCCCAAAATAACAGCAGCCCAGCGTTCCTTTTGGCCTGGGGGATTAAGAGCACTCAAAACCACTTTACCACACTCTACACTTGAGTGAATACATTTCCCCAATCTTGGCACCAACAGCTTTTTACATTAAAGCATGCATCCTTCAAGCAAGAAGCACATGAGTCATATTTATATTGCAAATGTTTTAAAACTATTAAAACACTTTGCAGGCCATCAGACCCTTTACCAGAAACCAGTACTACTCCTAGTACTAATTATTATAGAGCTAGGAGAGAACTCAGTTATTTTATAACTGAAGTATTGAAGCTAAACTCCAGAAAAGAAATGTTGATGCCAGACAGTGCTCAGAGTATGCTTCAGAGCAAGCAAGAGTAATTGTCTTCTATTTGTAGACAACCTGTTATAATGACGCTGGAGGTCAAAAACTCAAGGTCAGTTGATGACAGCAGGCTACTGAGGGTGCAGATTCGGCTGGCAGCTTCTTCCATAGAGAGTCAGTGCTCAGGAAGATAATTTCCAACTTACAGTCCTACTCAGCTTACAATAGTATGTTTGTGGAGAGCTCACACAGACAGCTTCCGAGGCCATTTCTCAGGCAGCCTTCACCTCTCCATAATTAAATGGTTCAGAGAACTAAGCAGAGATGTTAACTCACCTGGGACATCCAGCCTTCCTTGAGGGAGTGCCACAGCACAGCCTGTTTTCTCTCCTGCTTACAATATAAATTTGGAGGAGGTCCTTGCTTCACACCATGGCTGAGATAGGTCAAAGGGAGACTCAAAAAAAATCAAAGACTGTCAGCAGGACTGTCAGAGAAGTTCAGCATAAATTGTTTGCCTGCTCCTGGCAAACTTGAACATGAATAATGGAATTCCTTACCATTTCATCTCAGAAAACAATAATTACCACAATTTATTCGTCTTCTGCAATAGCTGGACTGACTATCCAACAATGACTGCCATAAACATGCTTTGCAGGACTACCTTTGTAAATAATAATGCTGCTTTACATAACCTGATAAACAATAAAATTATAGTTATACTTCTTACTTTCTTGCTTAAGGTTAAGCTGGAGCTGTAAGATTTAGAGATGAGCTGGAAGCTCTGCTGGGAAAGGCAACCACAGCAGCTGCTCTTCTCTCTCCTGTAAACTTTCACTTCTGTCTTGATCCTTGACTGCTGCTACTGAGGGCATTTGACTCTCCACAGCCCCCAACAAATGCATCAGGCAGCTGGAGCCATTTTGCCGTATCCTGAGATTAGGTTTTCATTCCTCCTTTCTTCACCCTCAGCCCTGACACAGCTAGGCTAGATAAATGATTGCAGTACAGTTCACCCATAAGAATGCAGCTACACTGAAACTGCCTCTCAAGCACACGGCTAGGTTCATACGCCAGTTCAGTCTTGCCTCACATCTACGCTGTTTGATTGCAAGTCCACACTCAGGCACAAAACTAAGGACTCCTTAGACACCTCAAAAGGGATAAATTTGGGTCTGTGCTACTCTGCAGTACCACATCCATAAGGACCCAAGAGCATATCCACAGGTGAGCTGGGCATATGGCTCTTACAGCAGTGCCTTGACCATTGAACACTTCCTAAGAAGGCCCCAACATTGGCAAAAGGTAACTGGAATTCACAGGCAGCCTCAGGTCAGGCTGCCTGTAGAGCCATCCGGCCACCTTGAAGCTGAGCTATCCAAATTTTGAAGTTCATTTATTTCTGATCTCAACCCTTGAAAAAAGTCACAAAATGAATGCAAAACGTGCTTCAGTCCTCAAAAGAAAAACCTCTGATGGAGAAGAACAAGCCAAGCACATTTTGTTCCTACAGCCAACAAGTTACTGCAGACAGCTGTTCTCCTTCCCCAATACCATCAGATTTTGTTAAATGACTGCCATTCCCTATTCAGCCAGTCTCTAAGCTGATGCAAGACTGCCATTTCAGTGCTCCGATTTCTATACTTCAGTACATCTCCATCAGCCCATTGTCAGAAAAAATAAATACAGCAAATGAAGTGGATTTTCAGAATATATGCATCTCTGAATAGCAACAAAGCACATGTTCTTTCGTGATCATCCAGCTGCAATACCTATTATTACAGTCTGAATTTAAATATGCTATGAAAACAAAATTTCAAGCCAAAAATTATCACTAAGAACAGGAAAAGCAGTGCTCAGAACACCCTCTGTTACTCTTCTGTTTTGTTTTTCCCCCCCACCAACCTTTAGACAATCATCCACACTGAAAATTCTCCCTGCTTAGAGAGGCTTGCAGAAATAAAGAGTGAAAGCAATACAGACTTTTAACAAACACTAGTCTAGTATGCCAGAAATACCAGAAAAGTCTCATTTTCCCAAGCTGGTATTTATTGAAAATGCAGAACCTGGGAGAATATACTATTTCTCATAGCATTAATATTGGTCATAGTATACTATCTCTTCAGATACCAATACAGGAGTTGCTTTCACTATTTCTGTATCCAAAAAGAAAGTCTAGACTGAGACATGTGCCTGCTACCGCTGCTCTTCTAAAATGTGGTCTGCAGTGATGCTGCAGACAGTTTGAACTGGCAGTGCTATAGAAATTCACATCAGCAGCTCTCTCTGTGTACCTGTCTCTTCACGCAACACAATGTTGCCCTCTCCCGAAACAGAAACTTCCTCCTACCAGCAAATTAAATACCACTGTATTTTGCCATTTTTCATGAAGTAACTTTCCAGTTTCATAAAGTAACTGTCAGCTGATAGAAGCTACGCTTGGGATTTTTCCCTAAAAATGGTCACATGAAAATATGCTTCCTCCCCCTCCCCCCCCCATATTATTCAGGTAATCTTTATAACAAAAAATCACATAAAAGGCAACAAGCACATAAAATGCTCGTTGTTACCATTAATAAATTATTATCCTACTAATAAGCATGTACAGCTTGTAAGAAAAAAAAGCTCAAATCTACATTTTTACTATTTGAGTTTTCCATTTTGTTTTGCATAGGACATTTAAAAAAAAAAAATCAATTTACTTTTAGCTTCTCATCAATGGTATACACGATCCCAGTGCATTAATAGAATTCAGTAATGTTCAAGTTAAAAATAGCTCAGGGAATTGGTTTAAATATGGTCAGCACACGATTTAAGATAAACTAGAAAGAGTTTTAAATTAAAAGTTACTTTAAAAAATAAGATTCTAATAAAAAAAATTCAGATTAAGGAAGAGCTGTATGTTTGAAAAACCTCATGTATACTAGCATGACTGACCTATGCCAATTTATACCAGTTTGCGCCTTTTAATCAAGCAAGAAATCCATAGTAGCTTTAAACAAACTACTTTATTTTTGATTCACTCTTTTCTTTAGAGCTCAGACTATGTGTTTTTGGACGCCTCAGCTCAGTTAACAAAACATACTGCAATCAATCCTAAATGACCAGAGCACACAGCATATATATGGCTTTTTTTGAAACCTCAGCAAGAAATTTCAGTCTGCAAGTAGCAAGATGAATAATGAAGCAGGAGGGAGGAACAAAACAGGGCTACAAAGAAAATACACCGGTTTGACCTCCATACCTTTCTAGGCCCAGAAGAACAATTTATTTCAGCTCTTCTGGAATTCTCTTGCCTGTCTCAGACCTTTATAGTGGAGTCTGAGTGTCTGCTGACTCACTTCTGAGTTGGATGGGCATACTCATCTCCCCTTCAACAGTCTAACTCTATATGCAGGAGATTTCTCTGGAAGGAACACTTCTCTGGCACAGAACTCCTCTGTCAGGCAAGAACTCAAGCTAGTCAGAAAGCATCAGTCTGAGCAGATTTCAAAGTTTAAAAAAAAAAAAAAAGTCCTCCAAAATCCTGCTGACCTCTCACATCACCACTACAGTATCTCCAAGCAATGGCTATGGAACCAAATTATGAGCTCCACAACCTTAAGTATAAATATAATAACTCCAAACCACTTTACACCAAGGTACAGTCATTAGCTCCATTCACAGGCCCATGATCATCTACTCAGGACTTCCAATATGACAAGTCTCAATATAAAACTATTTGGAAAACCAGTACGCTAAAATTTACATTATTATAGCCATGTTTACCTCGCACTGACTAACATGACCAGGGATCAGAACCCCTTAGGTTAAAGGCATCATTCATTGGCTCAGGAGCTTTGCAAGTGAGTAGCACAATTTCCACACAATTTTAACAAAGAAAACAAAGCAATGCAAAATAATTATCAAAAAAGTAAAAGTAAACCATATTATCTACTGTACTACTACATCTATCCAAAAAGGTTTCCATCATCGATATCAGATAATGTGAATTACGGTACTACTGGCCAGAGTCTCAGCCTAATACTTTCTCTTCACAAATGGCCTATAAATTAACCTGAAGAAAACACCAACAGGAATACATTTAAGCTAGCCTTCACTTCCTGCCAATATCAATTTTGTTAATGAAAACAGTCCAGATGCTTAATTCTTTGAAATAACATTTTTTCTTCTTCAAGTAACTTCTGAATGTGGTTATCCATGTGGACCTTATGCAGTATATATCCACAAAATATAAAAAATAACAGTTTTCACATCAAGTAAGCCAATGAACAGAGGAATAAATTGGTTAACAGACGCAAAGGAATAATACTAACTTATTTCTTACTGTTCCTTTGTGAACACACTCTTGCATAAAGAAAAAGGAACAATGCCATCTCCCTTTGGGGACTACAATGGTTTTAGAAAAATTTTGACCCTTTAGATAAAACAAATGCTTGTTTTGTGACTGTATGTGAGCTAAGTGAAAGATGCAGGAAGAGAACTTAGGATGCTGTAAGACACGGGTCTAAATGCCAACTCCCAAAATGCGCTGCTCTTCCATTTCACACCTGGTTCTCCTAGAAATTTGATTGTTTTGTATGTTATATAAAATATAATAAACGTAACCCTATAGATAAAAATATCCATCTGTTTCTATGAGGATCACTGTTCCTTCTGTGTACAAAACTGCGCCCTGTTTAATCTTACCTTCAGAGCACCACAAAGCTCAACAGTATCTGCATCATCTACTACAGTTATTCGGAAGTTTGGAGTCTGCAAGAGTTCTTTGAAGAGAAGGCCATTCTGCAAGATTTTGCTGCCTGTTGAGAGAAAGGAAGAATAAAAACGTCAATGAATAATTTATTTCGGTATCATTTTGGTTTTCCTTTGCAAATCAGAATACTTGAAAGCATAGTTAAGGTTATTCTATCTTCATCCTAAACAGATTCCATTGTTTTAAGTGACTAAGGGTGTGTCTACATCACACTGAAAAGCTCTGCACTGAGTTCCTGTGGAGTTCTTCATAATTAATTGTCTGCTCAGGAAGAGAGTCTAAAAAATAACCTCATTAATTCTCCATACTCTCCCTTTTCTTTAAATCATTCTCTTAAAAAAAAATTAATAATAAAACAAAGGTAAGTTAAAAATATAACAGGTGCAATTATTTTAAGGTCAGCATTCAAGAGAAATACCTCCTGATAAAGGCAACTCAAGGATATTTTATTAACTGAGCATGCTGACACTGGCAGCTAAGTTTCTAAGACACCACTGTATGGAAATTCAACCATTCAAAAATAAATGAAATGCAAAAGCTGTTGATGAGATGTTACAAAGCTAAAAATGCACAAAATTGAAAAAAAATTAACACCGAAACAATAGCATTAACTCTCTGATATTATGCATGTCTATATGTGTATAAATGTGCATGCTTATCCAGACACTGTGAAATCCAAGACTAGGTACATCTTTGTGCTGCAAAGGGGTGCAGAGACCAACACAAGACTAAAACTATGCCTATGATTTGGGGGAACTAGTTATTTTGAGAACTTTAAAAGGATTTAAAAAAAAAAAGTAAAAAAAGTTTTAAAAAGTTTAAGAAATTAGAAAAAAAAGTAAGACATATTGAAAGATTCCATCTATGAACCAGAACACTTGAGCTAGAATATATAATCATTTATCCATATTAAACCATGCAGCACCCAAGAAAAAGCTTAAGCACAGCATTAAAACAAAGCAGTTTATTATTCGGAGGATGAGAAAAAGCGTGCTTAGTATTCTACCTGCTAAGGCCATAACAACCCTAGTGAGACTATAAAATTGCCCTTTTCCCCCTGTTCCTAGTACTCTCCTAGTACTTTTGGAGGTGTAAACATTCTAAAAAATTCAACATTAAAGCAAGAAGGACCCCACAGTTTCTGATAATAGCTGATTAATGTTGAAAACTGAAATTTGAGCTATTGGATGTGCAATTCTGAGGACAGGAGCATATTATAAACATTTTGATTACTTGCAATATTACCTATCGTGGTTTCACAGAATTTCTCTGCTGCCACCTCATTGGCAATGTTAGCTCCCATCAGCACACTGATGTCTATTTCCACCTTCTCTCGAATAATGTCAGAAATCAGTTTGAGTCCCTCCGGGCCTTCATCTATTCCCTGCAGCCAACATTAAAGTGAATTACTGTAGAGGCAATAGACATAGTACAGAAGAAGAGTACATCACAATTAGTCTTGCCCATGGGTAGCCGCTACAACAAGGTTTATTCAGATAGAGACTAAAGATGATGGACTTGTTAGTAGAGAGACAATTCCATGAGATGCTTCTGCTATTGCTAGGACCTCTTTAAGGTGCCTTTTTATATGATATGAGGCAGCACCTCAAGAATTAGGAATCAACTAACAAAATCTAGATTATGATAACAGGCTTTATTCTGTGTTCAGCAAAAACCTTGACTCTAAAAAGTTCCAAATATTCAGCTCTGTCTGTTCAGAATCTCAGCTGAATGGCATCAGTGTGTGCCTACTAAAATCAGTGAAGAATCACTGAAATACCAATTGTGAATCAGCCCTGCGCTCAGATCCAAAGTCGGGCCAAAATTCACCAGCTGGCATCTCGATGACTTTTTTTTTTTTTTTGCGAAGAGGAATCTGAATTTCAATGTCAGAGAGAGACTCCCTCATGTTTAAACTAACAACAGCTTACTAGTGGAAAGGCAATTTAATTAACCTGAAGAATACTACAAGTTGAACAACAAACAGTTCACAAATATGTAGAAAGCTGAACAACTGAGAACGTTTTCATGTCTAAGTATATTTTTAATCTATATTTACAAAGCACCCTTTACAGAAGGTGAAAGTTGGGGCAGAAACAGGACCTTAGAAAAGATCTCCCCAGAGATTAATGCTGGAATGGAGAACAGACTCCAGCGCTCTGAACTGCCTGGTTCAAAGACTCCAAGAGAGGCCACTTCCTTCTCACGAAACCCTTTCTCCCACTCAGCTAAATGTAGATTTCTTTTGTGCTTTGAAACCAGGGGGAAGGCAGACAGGGAAGGAGGCAAAAGGTCCTGAAATGGTCTCTCTTTCAAAAAAAATAAATATGGCTTAAATAATCTTCTACATTGTAGTATTTTTTAATGTTTGTAAGGAGGGAAAAGCATAGTAAGTTCAAATTATATAACTGAAAGGCAAAAAAAGGCAGTGTGATCCACTACTACTTTGACATATCCTCATATACACATATATATCTACACACACACACACACACACATATTTAATCAAGTGACATTTCAGGCAGGCAGCATTTTAATGTGCATTCCTTAAAGGTGCCATTCCTTAAACAACATGGTTCAAGAGACATACAGAAATGCATGTATAAAATCAACCAGTTAAAAGATAAACAAGAGCAGCTGCATTTCTGCGTTGTTTTTCAGCCTACAGCCCTTAAGGAACAGCTCTGCCTTCTCATCTTTTATGACCCATACAGAAAGAATCTGGAAGGAAGCAGATATACCTGCCATATTTTTCTCTAACAGTGCCAAAGTCGTTCCCACAAAATAACTATAAGGCCCCTTCCCCATCCTCCTAAGCAGGCAATTAACAAACAAAAACACATACACATTGGGAACAACTCCCAGCACATGACTGCATACACCTCAATTATTTGTCCAAGCAAAAGGTCAGAGTTGCTTGGGTGCCAAGTTCAGCTATGAAACAGATGCAACTTCTGACAAAGTCAAGGAGAGCTGCACCCGTTTCTTCCAGAGTCAAATCCAATACTGGATGACAGAAGAAAAATAAATAAATGAAAATCAAGGCTCTAGTATGAGAACTTCCACTGGGCAGCAACGCTCCCCAGGCGATGGAAGTTCAATTCAGTGAGTCCTAACATGCCTCCCAGAGCAGTCCCAGGGGCCTGCATGCAGGTAGATGGAAACGAGATCAGCACTGAGGCCGTCTGAAGCGTACTTTGAGTGATGGTCACCTACCCCGACTGCTGCGCTCTCTGCCGTACTGCACTGTAAGCAGTATTTAAGTCAGACTCCATTCTCCTCCCTCATCAGCACAATCATTTGTTCGGTTTTGTCAAATACCAGGGATCAGAACATATATAAAGTATGGTGATCAGAACATATGTAAAGCAACCCAACTGCAAATGCTTCAATGGGAGCGCAGATTAACCAGTGGACAAATGCCTTTATTTGCCAGTTTTATTATCAGACATTAGGGTCTGCTAGAAGATTTGACTGTTAAAAAAAAAAAAAGGACTAAAAGAGGACATACTGCCAATTCACCAAGCAAGTATATCTAATTTAGAAAGCAGAGAAACAAAGATCCCACTAATGACATTTTTAGAAGAGAACTGCACTTTAATTGCCAAAGTTAACACAAGCCACTTTAATAGCATTAGTGCCAAGCATAATGAGACAAAGACCACTAAAAGTCTGACTTTGATGAAAACCCGTGCATAGAGAAGCTGTAAGAGTAGGGCATGGAATGCGTTCCTGCCTCTATTGCTTAGTTTCATTGTTCTGTTCAATCTCTGTCCTTTCTTCTAAAATGATACATATGCAGTTATGCCTTTTGATAAAAGCTGACAACATGTACTTCGCATTCTCCTGCAAAGAAATTCAAAGGCCTCGCACCTTTTCTTTCAAAAGACCACCTACTGATGCAGAGATGAATCGTGACAGTGGGAGGCTGCCTAGTAATCAGCTCTGTGTTGCATGGCAGGTGTCACTACACTCTTATTTTAATTACACTGGACAAAGTGTGGATTTTTTTAAAATTAGTAATTATTAAAGATAAAAAAAAAAAAGGAGGGGCATTTAAGCAACCCATTAATCCACACTCCATTAAAACATCACAAGTAGTATTCCTAAGGGAATACAGGCCCAGATTCTGATTTCAGATATGCTGATACAAGTCCTCATTTACTCCAGCGAATTCATTAAAAGGTTATTCCTAGCATTTAGAGACATGAGGGCATAGCTTACATTTAGCAAGAAAAGACAACAGAGAAGGTAATGTGTGCTGAAAAAAAAAAAGGCCTACTCTCAACTAACTAGAAAACAACAATAAAGGAGCATCTTCTGAACCTTGTGGGAATAGCCTACCATTTGCAGCTAGGCACGCACACCGTGGCGGGGGGGGGGGGGGGGAAACACACCCACATTTAAGAATTCTCTTGCCAGCAAAATGACAAAAGCCCCTAGTGAAACACTTATCCTTATTTCCTACACCTCTGCCCCCTCCTAGTTCCCATGTTTAAACTGGTTTATCTTTTCAGATTGTGCTAAATAGCCTCTCTTGTTACAACATAATCTTTTACATGAACAAGAGCACTATCATCTCAGTCACATGAGATTATCTCAGCGGTTCTTAAAACGATCATCTCAGTGTGTGGGATGTGCATTATCAACCAGACCATTATGCTTGTGCTCTGCTCTCCACCTAATGATGCGTTTGGAAACAAGTAAAAGATTGGAAAATTTGGTGGTGCAAAACACACTCCCTCCCCCTTTCCTTTTAAAAGAGTCTTTTGAACAGCCTCATTTTCCTCTTACTGCAAGCACTAACCTAAAATAAAACACTGCATAACAATCCACTAATGACTGAGAAATTCCAATAGTATTTCTGGAAAGATTTAATGGAACGATCAAGTGAATGACACAAAGAGACTTCTCATACCAAATTCTAAGCTATCTAGATTTAGAAGACTCCACAATACCTTGTCAGTACTAACACATAGTATTTATTATACCTTTATGAGAGTTATACCAAGAGCTTTCTTGGGCACTCGTCCTGTGATTTCATCGCAGATCTTATGAATGAACTGATGAGGAATGACAAAGACCAGCAAGTCTGCATCCTGTACAGCTTCATTAAGGTTTGGGACAGCAACCTGTAGAGTTATGGGAGAGAAAGGCCCATGTAATGTCTTAAAATGAACACTATCCACATGTGTTATCAAATACGTAAAAACACATTTTGGTCTTACATACAGTGCTACAAATTACTGTGCTTCATCACTGAACACAAGTACTAACATAACCTTCCCACAAAAACAAAAGAACTGAAGCTTTCAAAACAGCCACTTCATGCCTTGAAAGGGGCATCTTTACAGCCACCTGTACTCTCAGTTCAAAGAAATGCATAAGTGAAGGAACGTAAAGTACCAAATCAGCAAGAATCAGAATTCAAAATGCTCTTTAACATTCAAGCATGTACTTTGAGTTAGAAAATATAAAATAAGCAGTTTCCTTCTCTTTGACTAAATAATCTCAAATTTGATATACTACCGCATGCTGAAAAGTAGCTTCTTTGCTTAGTTCCTTGTACTCTCAGATTTCTTCTCTATTCCTTTTACATCTGCTAGTTTATACTCTCCTCCTGTGTACTCAGATTTTGTTTACCCTTTAAGAAGGTGACCTACTTCCAAATCACCTGACAGACTCCACTTTTTCTAACATGTGATGACCATCTTAAAATAACAGTCAGGTTTAAACTCTACCAGTAAGCTCAACATACTGACAAAGATAACAAACATGAATGAGTAGGTCATGAACAACAGAAACACCAAGGGATTTCAGTTTTACTATTACAGACAAAACTGCACTCCACGGCAATTCATGTTTTTCCCGCCCAGAATTTCCTAGCAAATTGTCAGCTGCTGCACTCTCTTCCTATGATGCTTTTGGGCAAGCTTCACCACCACCCACCCACCATCCCATTACACCAACACAACGTGCATGTGGTCCTACCACTCTGTCCTGGCAGAGTTAGAAACGTGCTGGCCTAACTGACTGTGCAGCTAACAGATACAGTAGTATGCACAGCAGTTCACGCAGAAGGGAGCAAGAAAGACCCTTTATTTCCAGTCTTAGTAGCGTCCACTTCCTCAGATACGGTTATGACACGCCGCAGAGTACGTTCCTTGGCAGCTGTTGGAGTTGCTGCATCAGCTGTGTCAGAGGCTTTCACCCAGGCAAACCTTCAGACAGCGGAGAATGCAGGTGTCAGGCTGCAGAGAGTGCCTGGGGCCTCTCCGTGAGGCTGGGGCTGACAGTCATCTCCTCTGCAGAAGGTGTGCTCTTGGTAAGTTGTGCTGCCAGGTCAAGGAGTTACAGGAGGAAGTAAGCAAGCTGTGTAGCATGCGAGAAGATGCGCAAGAGATAGATACGATATTCTCAGAGACCTACCGCTTCAGGAGTCTCAACCCCCGACCGACAGCAGTTGGGATGCAAGCGGGCTCTGTGCGATGCGAAACAGTAAGTCACAACTCTGTAGAAGAAGAAGGCTGTTTGAAACTGGTCACTTCTCTTGTGAGAAGGGCTCTTGCTCCTCCTGAAGACTTGCAGCTGATGAACAGGTTTAGTGCCCTCCAAGCTAAGGAGAAGTTGGGCATGGCTTTAAGTGAAACAACTGACCAGATGGACCTTGTACCATGCAGGATCACCCAGAAGGAGCAGTGAGGGATTGTTGTGGGTGACTCCCTGCTGCAGGGGACAGAGGCACCTCTCTGGCAACCTGATGAGAGGTTTGCTGCCTGCCAGGGCCTCAAATCCGAGATGTCACAGAAAGACTGCCAAAGCTTGTCCACACGTCCAACTATTACCCTCTGCTGCTCTTCCACGCGGGCACCAACAACACCAAGGGCAACTTGGAACCTATCAAATGGGATTTCAGAGCTCTGGGGATGGTGGTCAAGGGTCTTGGGGGTCAGGTTATTTTCTCCTTGATCCTGCCAGTTCAGGGGAAGGATGGGAGGAGGAGCAGACAGATTCTCCAAGTAAACAACTGGCTGCACCGCTGGTGTTGGCAACAGGGTTTTGGTTTCTGTGACTACGGGACTCTGTTCAAAGACTGACAACTGACGGGGAGAGATGGGCTCCACCTCACTAAGCAGGGCATGTGCATCTTTGCCAGCAGGCTGGCCAACCTGGGAAGGAGGGCTTTAAACTAGGAAAGACGGGGAAGGAGAGAGTTACAGAAACCATGCAGTCAGCAAAACAGGGCTCAACTGGGCATACCCGCAGTAAGTGCATGTGGCCAAGGAAGTACCTACAAGACATGACTATGGGGTATCCCCTTGCACCTCTCCTGGGAAATCAGCATGCTCGAATATCTCTCTGAAGTGCCTTTACACCAACGCACACAGCATGGGGAATAAACAGGAAGAATTAGAGATCTGTGCACAGTTGCAGGGATATGATCTCACTGCAGTTAGAGACACGGTGGGATAGCTCGCATGACTGGAATGCTGTCATGGATGGCTATATCCTTTTTAGGAAAGACAGGCCAGGAAGGCAAGGTAGTAGAGTTGCCCTTTATGTGAGAGAGCATCTGGAATGTATGGAGCTCTGCCTCGGGGTGGATAACAAGTGGGTTGAGAGCTTATGGGTAAGGATTAAAGGGCAGATTAATATGGGTGATACTTTTGTGGGTGTGTGCTACAGGCCACCTGATCAGGAAGAGGAAGTAGATGAGCCCTTCTACAGACAGCTGGAAGTAGCCTCACGATCACAGGCCCTGGTTCTCATGGGAGACTTCAACCACCCTGACATCTGTTGGGAAGAGAGCACAGCTAGGCACAAACAGTCAAAGAGGTTCTTGCAGAGCATTGATGAGAACTTCTTGACCCAGGTGGTGGAGATGCCAGCAAAGAGAGGTGCAATGCTAGACCTTGTACTAACAAACCAAGAAGGTCTAGCTGGAGAGGTGAAGGTTGGGGGCAGCCTTGGCTGCAGTGACCATGAGATGGTAGAGTTCAGGATCCTGCGAGGAGGAAGCAGGGCAACAAGTAGGATTGCAATGCTGGACTTGAGGAGAGCTAACTTTGGCCTCTTCAGGGACCTACTTAGGGGAATCTCCTGGGGTAGGGCCCTAGAAGGAAGAGGGGTCCAAGAGAGCTGGTTAATATTCAAGCATCACTTCCTCCAGGCTCAAGATCGGTGCATCCCTCTGAGTAAGAAGTGCAGCAAAGCGGGCAGGAGACCTGCATGGATGAGCAAGGA